TTAGAATTGGCCCATCCGCGGGAGGAAGATAGGAGGGGGAGAAGTCCTTGCCTCAGGGCCCCGCGTTTCCCCGCTGTTCCCGCGGCAGCCGCGTCCCTGCGGCCGCTTTGGCTCCAGGGGGCGCTGCCGCTCCGCCGATGGGCCGCGGGGCCCCCGCGCTCCGCAGCCCGGGCAGGGACCGCGCCGCTACCGGCGTTCTGTTTGCTGCGGTACAGCCCCCCAGCCCTTCCGAGTTCTTACATCGTGATGCCGGGAGGTTGCGGGGGGGTAGGGCTGGTGGGGGGAGCACTCTGAAATCTTTCTTTTTCCATAATCAGCTCTCTGGCTTATTGCAGCTTTCCTGCCCTCATAGCGCTGATGCCTGCTGTAATTTAAGAGGTAGAATCAAATTCAAGACTTTTACTGTTGCTACTGCCATTAAATGGTGCAAGCTTTTCTGGAATCATAGAACAAAGACGAAAACTGACTTTGTCTCAATGTATTTATGTCTTGATTTAATTTTTTTTATTTGTTATATTTTATTGTGGCATGGAGTGCATTCTTTTCTGATGAGAGCACAAAACTATATCTGAGTCTATCATTTGGGTTGCTTTCGATTGTGAGATGCTGTTAATGTGGAAAGAAAATCCTGTGTGGGAGCTGAATTAGTGTGACTGACAAAGGTGCTGCTACATTACAACCTTTTCTTAAAAAACCTTTTTGTTGAATTTCTGTCTCATAAAGAAGCAGTGTTCTTGCAAACCACTTGTGATGGCACCTCTGAAAATGAATTGCCATTTCAGATATTCTGTTTTTTTGAATAACAGTTGACAAATAATGTTGCAGATAGTGGTGACCACAAAAAAAGTAGGAGATTATAATACAGTATTTCTGTCAATGTTATTTTTTCCACTTTACCTTAATCCCAGCTGTCTTCATTTTCTTCTAAGTTTGCCTCACAGATATAGGATGCAACATATGCAGTGAACTTACAGTGTGGCATATTCTGGTCTGGATTTGACCTGATTCAGTTTTTCATGGGTTGTTCAAATACACTGTGCTGCAAAGAATGGGCATTAATCACCCATGGCTCTCAAGCAGCTCTGTACAAACTTCTTTATTCAGATCAGTAAGGTAAACTAGGCTCAGATGTATGAGATTGCTGATATGTAACAATATAAATTAAAATGAAGGTATGGATTTCATCCAACCTGCCTTCTCTTGTCTTCAGCTACTCAAATGCATTGTCAGTACATCTGCTTGTGGATTGTCTGATTTAATTTTGCAGCTTCACTGCCTAGCGAAGGCTAATTGTACATGTGAAGCTCTGTACCCATTGAGGTAATGCAAGAAAACAGAGATCTATAACCCTGGTTCCACAGCCAGACCATCTCATCATGCACAAATCTAAAAGGTCACTCTTAGAGCATCTGCTGGTGCTCACCTATGCTCAGACCAGAGAGTGTGAGTGCTTGGTGGGTGCTAGATAGTAACAAAAGAAAGTGAGTGCTACCTCTGATCCCAAAGTAATTACAGTGCTTTAGCTCTTTTGATTTAACATCAGAACTGAAAACTGATATTGATTAATGCATGTATTCCCTTAGCATTTAAACACAGTCATTTTCCGTGTGCTAACACTAGAAATAGATGTGAGGAATTCAGTGTAGTCTTTCAGAAACCAGGAGATATAACCACCATGCTTCATTAACACCGGTTATGAGAAACTATTCAAGATTATTTAACAAACTATACAGGCTTCCACCCTCTGTATTTGACTGGACATTCATGGCCTAATGAGTTCATATTCATTCATTTTTATGAAACTTTGAATGTAGAAATATATGCCTGGGAAAATCAAGTGCCTAAGAGAAGAGACACAATACACAGTAAGGTATGGGAGCACAGGAGAACGGCACTGAGAGTTGTAAAATCACAGAAACTAGACCCAGAAAGGATGTTATTTACCCTTTTCCATCTGGTAAATGTTTAACATCTAAGAACAAAAATTTATTCTGGGTGCCAGCTTGAAAGATTTTTGGTGGAATGATCAAGGAAACTGTTGTTTGCTTTCTGCAGCAGTTCAGAAGCTTGCTCATTCTTTGTAAGTAAACAGATGACATCAAAGACATCTGACTCCATCACCGCCTTCCTCCTCACAGAATCAATAAACAGTGCCCTGAGCTTTGACCAAGTACTCTGGTCAAAGACAGTAAATTTACTCTGTGAAACTTCATCTTTACCTTGATTCTACCAGATGATGATTTCAGTATTTTTCTGCCAGACAAAGGTGACTAGTCATCTTCACATCTCAGGAGAGATGTCATAGTTGCCAGTCGTGGATAAATGAAAACTACAGGGTAGTGATAATTCCTGGCGTTAACCAGATCCTTGCTTTAAAACAAAATCCTTCAGCTTTATCTGTCTTGCACCATCAACAGCTTAGAACTTTGTAATGTTAAGATTTTCCTTGATGCTATTGCTTTTAGATTAGGTAATTTCTGTTTATGTAAAGAGTATGTCTTCACTAGCAATTTCAATGGAAAGTATTTGTGTGCCTCTTCATACAAGGGTGATGAATGTTGAAAATGTCTGAAGCCAGTATTCCACAAGCGTTAAAAGCAGATGGGAAAAATTCTGTCATGATTTTAAAAAAAATAGAGAGTTTAATTCCACCTTCTCTATAGGAATAAAGAAAAGGAAAAAAAAATGCTCTTTCCTAAATACCTTTTCTTGGTTGTACAAAACTACTTTAAAATTAATTGTTAATATGACAATGATCTCATGTTTCCATGTACAATTCTCTTTCACCAAAGCAGCTACTTGTACCAGTAACGTGCTCAGCTGGTACAGCTGGTTTGGCTTTTCATCTCTGTAGTGCTCGCTGTTTCTCAGCTGTAGTGCTCGCTCTTTCCCCCGACAAAGTTGCCATTTGCAAAATACTGGTATTTCTTTATTAACTCTCCATCTCCTTTGAATATGACAGTTCCACAAGGTATCCTCATGCTCTTACAGCTGTTATACTTCTTTGACTGCTGCTTTCACAGACTCATGCTCTTAAATATAGCCTATAGTATGAATTGTTTCCTATACTCCACAACTGCCTGTGTAATATAATAGCTCGGCAATATCTCTTGCCATATGGAGCACTGCAAGCTGTTCTTGAGCAGCACTGCTGTCCATGAGAAATCGTCTCAAAGATGCATTCTTTTGAACATATATTAAATATTCTAGGATAGAAAAAGCATCAGATTAGAATTTCAAATGGTGAAGTTGAACTGATTTACCCCAGTGGGGCATCAGATTTTGTGGGCATTTCTTTTGTTTGTTTTTAGCATGCATATATTCACAATTACCTAGCAACCAAGATAAACTTACCAGACTGTTTGGTGTCTAATAAAACTTGCACCTTCCATTACTGTCAGGAAGAAATGTGGTTCTCAGCTACAGTAGATCATGGTATAAGCTGCACAGAAAATTCCTCCTTTATATTTTTTCTAATCTGTAAAGTCTTACATCCACAAAAAGTGATAATATGTTTTCAAACATAAATATAAAAACCCAGCAAACAGTTTCTAAAATAATATTGGTCTTAGTTTGCTATATTTTATGTATCTTTTGAAAAAAGATAGAAACTCTTCAGAGTCGAAAGTGTGATGCTGAGGAAAAAATGGTGGGAGAGCATTCTGTAACACATAAGCCTATTAATTATTAATATGATTTAAATAATGGTGACTTGTGTACTGTCATTGTCAAATTTTAGCTTGAGTGGAGCTATTGTTTCACCTTTATTGTGGGCTGACTTTTTTTTTTTTTTGGTCTCATAGTATATCTTATTTCCTTTCCTGTCTTGTTTCATTTCTATGTGTGAGGCAAAATCGGTGCAGAGGATACAAAGGTAATTATATCTTCATTAATATAAGAAACTATCTCAGCAACAAACAGAAAAATCAGGAGATTTAAATAAGAGGAAAGATAAAAAGACAATCAAATATGGTTTTTTCCTAAGAAAAAATGCATACCCAGAGGAAAAATCAATAATTGTATATAGTTTAATCTTTATGGTTTTTTGCAAATTAGGATAGGAAATCTTAAGCAATATAAATTAACAAGAAAAACAGGTGTTGAGCACTAAATAACTAATTCCAAAGGAACTGTGCTGATACATACTCAAATACAGCACAGATGTATACAATTTAATTTGGCAAATAGGCAGAGCACTCGCCTCACTCTGTCTGTTGCCACTGGCAGAGATACATTTTGTGATTCAGAGGACTAAAGTTACCTTTATTGATGATTCTGCAAATGCGGCCTGTGTGCTGCTGAGTAGTCTGCAAGGTCATAATAAATGCCTGTATTTATTCTGTGCATGCTAGTCCTCAAGAAATTTTAAAGCTGCAATTGAAGCCTGTCATTGTTTCAGAAAGTTTTACTGACCTAGCCTGATTCCTTTTGCATACCCTGGACTACGACATTTCACTGAAATTCATTACATGACACATTGTGTTAAGGCATATCCTTTAAAAAGACAACAGATTTGGCTTTGAAAACTTAAACTGAAGGGCAATCAGCATATCCCAAAGTCATTTATTTCAGTGTTTAATTATCCCCATAAGTTGGAACAAATCACCAAGGAAATTAACCCATGTTATGCATGAAGTCCATTGTGTATGTGATGAAAGACATTACTCCCTGAGAAAACAATGTGATCTAAGGCGTAAAAAATGGAAGATGAAATCTGCTTTATACAAAATTTCTGTTCATTGGTACTAACTGATCCATGAGGCATTATTTTGTGGGACAAAATATTATCAATGGGTTGATTGTGGACTTTTTAAGTAACAGCTTTTTCCGAGTTCTTATAAGTTAAGCTAATGATTATACAATTTGTCTCCACTGAGCCTTATTATTTCACTATATATATGCAGTGTATATATTGTAATATTTTGGGTTTTATTTGTATTGCGTAAGTGTCTTAAGGAGAGTGTTGCCTAAAAGATTGCAGAGAAAAGATTCCAGGCCAATTTAGTGTAGGAGATAAGGTGAAGAGAGCAGGAACTTTAATGAGTCGTTAGGCCCACAGGAATACATACCCTTTCAGACAGTGGTTCTATGATTTTATAATAAGGTCCATCCAATCCCAATTTGTCCACCCCCTGGTTCTGCCCCGTGCCGCCCCTTCAGGAATTGAGTCTGGGGGTATTTGGGACCCCTTCTTCCTCATCTTCATCTTCCTTGAAGCACGTTCAATCCTTGAAGCTCCTCCAAATTTCTGGGCTTGAAGGTCGCTGTGTCTGTGTGATATCTTCTGGTCCAGGCCTTAAGGTGTTTTTCTGCAATTCTGCCTTTAAAAGAAGACTAAACAGCTAACAGAATTTAGAGGGGTTGATATGGGATGGGGTTTGGTATGTGTAAACATTATGCTACAGGGTAAGGGATATAATACAGCTACGTTAAAATCTACATTCACTACACATTTACTTCTAAAATCTATAAAAATTAAAGAAATCAAAATGCTCTGAGGCATCAAGGGGAAGGAAGAGAGAGAGAGAGAGAGAAAGAGGGATGCCCCATATATTGAAGGATGACAGGCATTTCAAAGTAAAGAACAAGTGCTGAATTGCTAACTATGATGTTATTATTTTCTGAATTTGTAGTGCAATTGCCTGAATGTTACATATGCCCTTTTTACATACATGTAAAATATTTTGGAAATGAAGGAAAGGATTGGATTGTATTTTGTTATCCATCTTGGAGGCTCATCCCACTAATAGGACTGTTATTGCTACCATTTATTTAATCAAAGCTTTCAAATATGCCGATCTAACACTCTTTCTTGCTGACCATTAGATAAAGACATAATTTTGTTGTTTCTGAAGCACTATAAACTTATAGGAGAGAACCCACTCAGTACTTTATAAAGAATACAAAATATCTAAAAGTATGAAAAAGCTTTTTCATAGTTTGTCAACTGAATAAACAGACACATTTTCCAATATTTCTAAGGTTTTAAATATTAGACAAATAAGTTATTGTGGATAAAATGCTGCTGCACAGCAGCTGGGCCATGATAATATCAATTTGTTAATGCATAATGGTAAGTGCAAATAATTCAAGTTTCTTTTAATCTTTCAAAGTAGATTGAAGTACCTCCAATAACTTCAGGATGTTTTTTTGTGATGGACTGATACTACATACGTGAAAATTTACCATTTATAAACTGGTGTGTGATAAATTTTTCATGTAACTAAGCCATGAACTGTGTTCAAGGTCACATTAAGATAGGGCTTTGAGCAACCTGATGTCCCTGTGAAAGATGTCCCTGCCCATGGCAGGGGAGTTGAACAAGACACCTCTAAAGATCTATCCCAACTCAAACCATTCTATGATTCTATATTAGGACTGTTGGTTTTAAGTTATATACATGGTTTTAAGCACACATCCAGATGTGTTATTGTCTTCTTGTAGGGTAGAAGTCTCTAAGGAAACATAGGATGAATAAAAGTGATATAGGAACCTTGGTTATGAACAGATATTAGTGGGAGTTTTTTCTTTTTAAGGAAATCACACTACAGATTTTAAAACTCTTCAGTCCTATTTACATTGCTAGCAGCATAAGCGTTTTCATATCAGATATCTCTGATTCTGCACAAAAAAAATTGCTGTGTCTATAGTTTTATTGTTGATTTCAATAACAGTTACAAAGAAAAAAAATCTTTGCAGATTAGCTTATCCTGGAGCATAAGCTGGAGTAATATTTGAATTGCAGTTGTATTTGTGCGGTTAGACCAAGTCGCCCTCAGTGTATCTCCATTAGCTTTATTAATGTTCTATAGGTAATTATTCTGGATATTTTCTTTTCTATAAATACTGATTTTACTACAGAATGCTGAGAGGGCTGGCTGCAGAAACTTTTGGCAATGTAATTCTAAGTCTATCAACTTGAGCCACGTATCATAATTTTCAAATAAATAATATATAAATTGTTGTATTGGCGAACTATCTGTGTTAGTTAAAGTCCTGATTTGGGTGCAAATTAGGAGATTGAAATTATTTGTATAGTTGGTGGTATAGGCTGTGGTAAAATTAATTGGACTAGTTTCCAGTCACGCAACCTCACAAGTCATTTTAGAAGATAATGCAAAATACTCTATCACCATTGGCTGTAGTTTAAAGCAAAAAGTGGCCATGTGGGGCAAGGGAGGGTGGAAATATCTTGACCATAAATATAAGTCAAAAATACAATTGTGAATGAATCTAATCTTAATGCTGCTCAGCATTTGTATGCAAAATGAAGTCAGGAGACTTTCAATTTTGCTATTAAAGTATATTCTATTCTTAACTCATTTGATTAGAAATGGAGTTCAATGAACATGTTCTGTGAAATATTACATTGTCTTATTGTTACATGAACTGACATAAATTGTTCAGAAGATCTAAAAGGAGAGAAGATAGTTTTCCTGGAAATGAAATTTTCATTTTAATTAATAATAGTGTTCATTAAACTGCACAAAGTATGCCACTATGTGTCTGACTACATCATCCCTACAAAATATGTGTATTTTTTAAAAAACTTGAGAGTTGTTCTTCCCAATGGCATCTTGAGGGATTCAAGGCAGGCAGTTTTTTCCGAAGTATTGAAGTCAACTGTTTGTTCCCTCAGATATGACACGCAGTTCCCATACACAAATGCATGTAGCATGGGGATTAAGCAGGGCCATGATCTCATTGGGGTTAGGGAGATGTGATGGGGTAGCTCAAATGACTGGGGTGCTGTGAGAGACGGATACAAGGTCTTCAGGAAGGATCAAACAGGATGGTGAGGAGAGGGATCTGCCTTTGATGTGAGAGACCAGTGGGGATGCCTAGAGTTCTGTCTACGGGTGGTTAATGAGTTAATTCAGAGATCACAGTTCAGGATTTGTGGGTAGAGCCAAGTATCCAATGTTCTTGTGGGTTTCTGCTACCAGCTAACTTACCAGGAGGTTGATGGGGCCTTCTGCAGACAGCTGAAAGAAGCATCATGGGGGACTTCAACCACCCCAATACCTGCTGGAGGGACAACACAGCAAGACACAAGTAATCCAAGAGGTTTCTGGAGTGCAAGGAGGACAAAGAGGTGATCAAGGGGCCAGCAAGGGGCATTGCTCTGCTGGACTTCATACTTGCAAACAAGGAGGGATTGGGTGGGATATGCATGTTGGGGGCAGCCTTGTCTTTAGTGACCATGAGAGAAGGGAGATCCAGAAGAGTTGGATGATTTTCAAGGATCACCTCCTACAAGCTCAGCTAAATAGGGAGCTCCTGTCTAAACACAGATATGAAAAGGAAGCATACAAGGGCTGGAAGCAGGAACAAATGACGCAAAGAAAATATAAGGTTACCATCAGTGCATGGAGGGGTGGGATGAGGAAAATTAAAGCCCATCTGGAGTTGATATCTGACGTGAAAGGCAACAAGAAAGACTTCTGCAGGTATGTCAGCTGCAAGAATGGCTATAAAAATGTAGGTCTGCTCTTGAATGAGACAGGTGGCCTCATGTCAAAGGAAGTGGAAAAGGACAAGGTAGTTAATGTCACCTTGTTCTCAGTCTTTATCAGTAGTATTTGTCTTCAGGCCCCTGAGACCAGAGGTAAAGTCTGGAGCAAGGAAGACTTACCCTCAGTGGAGGAGCTTGCTGATGATGCAAACTGAGAGAAGTGTTTGATGCACCAGATGGCTGCACAGAAATGTTGAGCTGTCTCCACCCTTGAAGATATTCAAAAGCAATCTGGGCACTGCTCTGGGCAACCTGATGTCAGTGATTCTGTTGAGCAGGGCAGTTGGACTAAATGATCTCTAAAGATCCCTTCCAACTTCACCTATTCTATGTTTCTTTTCCAGTTAGACTATTTTCTTATTTAGCTCTTCTGCTAAGGGCTTATACTGACCCTTGTAGGCCTGGGTTTCCATTTGAGCACCTTGTTTTAACATTCCGTTGTTTATTTTTGCAGAAATTCTACAACAGAAGACAGCGAGTTTAATAAGACTTGTTTGTACAAACAAAAGGTACTTTATCCCAAATAGCTGTAAAAATCTGAGTCTGAACAAAAATTCATCCTAGGCTTAAACATCAACAATTCCGAGTGTGTGATGCTACCATTCTTTGCAGTAACAGGCAGACAGATGGGTTCATATGGAGAAAGAAACCTGCCTAAACCTCCAAGGAGAAAAACACAGTGATTGAAAAAAGATTTAATCTCTGCTACCTTAGGTTTGCAAAACCTAAGAGCACATGTATCTAAAAATACCATGTCATGGAGACATAAAAATTTCTTTTAATGTTTCCAGTATACATGTGTAATAGAACATTTATTCTGAGGAAGCCTCTCCAGGCAAAGTGGAGAGCCTTGAAAGAAATGGCACTAAGAACTATTTCAGAAATGAAACATCAGCTGCCACTCACTATCCAAAGTTTTGTGCCACTTGAATGGTTGTGGAAAACTTTTTTCCCAGGGATGAAACAGACACCATTTAAAGTATAGGAATGCATGCAGTAAGGATGCAGAAAGCAGTTACCTTTCGTCAGGTTGGGATTGTTAGTTTCCCACTGAAATGAATTCTGCTTATTTCAGATTTTTTTTATGTCATTGTTCAGACTGTTTCTTAGTCTGTATATTCTCTGGTGAGTTACTAGTTACTGTTCTCATAGCTGGTCAGACTGAACATTGGTATTGAATTTGTGCCATTTCAGCTAATACCTATACTAGAGGAAAATTACATTGACCATTGGTTCATACCAATGGTGATAAGCACACAGAATAGCATAATGTTCAGTGCCCCTTATTTTTATTCCCTAAGCAGCTTGGACCTATGCAAAAGCCATTTGGAAAACTACAAAAAGTAACATGGGTCAGCAGCTGCCTCAGATAGGAATAGGGAGGGAAAAAATAGCATACAGCAACAGTACTGCTTCAAGCTTCTGCAGCTGAGTGATTTTTGAGGTTACTTGATATTTATAGGCACGATTTCTTACAGTGTGATTTGATGCATAGGTTACACTTGCAGTTTTATGGAAAACTGTTCTGTGTGTTGTTTGTTTTGCAGTTTAATATTACATCAATTTTTTGTTCTTATGAGAAACACAGATGGGGCAAACAATTGCAAATAGTAATTATATTTTTGGCAAAAGAAATCATATCTACTTAGTTTTTCTGGGATGTGAAAAGATCACCTTAACATGCTAGAATGTCACAATTCTCATCCACTATGAAAGGCATCATTAGTAAAGGTATTGATTATTGTAACCACATTCTTCTTTGAATTTCTTTCTGTCTTTGGGGAAGACTTTTTTAACATATTTCATGTCATGTAGTCCTATACCATATGCTCCAGCTTAGTTGTCAAATGGACTTTTCATAGGTCACAGCATTATCCTCTGGGATATAACTCAAAATTGAACCAGATCCTTTATAATTTTAGACTTCTGTTTCAGATCAAGTTATATCCCTTTCATATTGCCATGGTAAGGGGGAAACTCTTTTTGCACTCCCTGAAGTAAATTTAGACTTTACTAAGTGCATCATAACGAGCAATCCAATTACTTGTGCCTAATTCATTAAAAAAAATTATGATTCTCTGAGACAGGATATGTAATATTTTCATGCAGTCAAAGAAAAAAATATTAAAATACAGGAAAAAAATTATTGTTCCATTTAGCATGGGACATAAATATAATAATATCAACCTGAATCTATTAATCAACTTTAAGCATTGGAGATATTTGAGAAGAGCATCAGTTTAGGGTAGACTTTGGTATACAAAGTTCTGCTCTGTCCTCCCAGGTATGAATAGACAATCTTATATGCAAAATCTCTATACAAGTACGCCAAGCATACTGATGTACACCAAGCGGGCGTTTGTGCACTGGTACGTGGGGGAGGGCATGGAGGAGTTCTCAGAGGCCTGGGAGGATATGGCTGCCCTGGAGAAGGATTATGAGGAGGTGGGGGTGGATTCTATGGAAGGGGGGGGAGAGGAAAAAAAGGACAAAAAGGGACAAAACCAAAACAGATATGCACAATCGAAACCCGGGAACTAGCAAAATAAAGAACTAGCAAAATGAAATCGCACCACTTCCTTAAGAAAAGCAGGATCGCGCCAGACACGGCCAGCACCCTCCACCTCCCGTGTGGCAAACAAGTCTGAGCAGGCCTCAACTCCCAGATAAGCGAGACCAACTGCAGGGATCTGCTGTCTCCCAAGTTTGCAGGAAGAGAAAAGAGGAAGAGGTCTCTCTCTCTGTCTTGTTTGTACCTCTGTTTACGTAAAGGGATAGGGTGAAATACTTCCTTGGTTACTAGGAAGGAAGGCCTAAGACTCAAAGCCATTACAAATCTCTATACGAGTATGTAAACCATTCAAGTCCCATTCCCAAATGGGATGCAATTTGCCCAAAAGTAACAATCTTGACTAATTTTTGCAATGTTTGTAGTAATCTTTTTTTTTAGAGTGCAAAATTTTGATAGCAAGGACTATCTGTGGAGGTAGAATTTTATCCTCATCGGGGCCTAAAGGTACCATCTGTGATACAAGCAACCAATAATACACTCCATTCAGAACCAGTGACTCCAGGGAGATGAAAAATGAGTTTATTTTGACATGGAAATCTCCCTGATTGATATTGATATCTAATGCGTGTACATTTTGATAAAATCTGTTTTTCTTTTGAAATAGACCTTATTTTCATAGGACTGAAAGAATGGAAATGAGTAGATGAATATTAATATACTTCAAGCTTAGGGAGCATTTTACTTCAATGCTTACTTGTTTGCCTAGCTTTGGCCTGTTGTATTTAAAAAAGGACAGTGGAAATTATTTCAAAGACTCAGTCAGAGACAAGAAAATTAGTTTCTGGTCCTAGCACCTGTGACTTTCACTGAAGAATTCAATAGACTTTCCAGGTGCTCAGCATCAATTTGAATTAGTCATTAAGAACATGCATGGCAAACCTTACTGTAAGGTGAAATGGTGAAGTAATAAAATCCCTTTATAAAAATACTGAGAGAAGCTTAATGGCGGTGAAGGGAATGTTGCTACTATTATAAAATTTTTATGCTTCATTGCAGATTGGTGTATAAATGTGGGGCAAAATTCATCTTTATATTTGCCAAATTACATGATTTTGTGATGATAGATCCATATTTATTAATAATTCAAATTCCTTTGGATTGATATTAGCTACCTCTAGCAAGGTGTATTATACGATTAATCCTTTCTTACCTGTGATTTAACTTAATTCTCTTTCATTTAATAAAATACCCTCACCAAGAACAATGCTATGTTAAAATATAAAATGATACTTCTACTTTTCCAGTGAATTAGTCTAACTAGCCTATTATGTTAATACAGGACTTATTAAGTCACTCATTAATTCTGTCTGGAAGTATGACACCCAAGGAAGCAATTTATGTTTATTGTAATTGCTGTCACTTGAAAAGCCAGTTTTATGAAGCAAATTATTTTTTTTAACACATTCACTTCCTTATAATCAATCTCATAACTGATACCATTTTCTGTCTGCTCAGCCATCTCATCTCACAGGTTGAAGATTAAATCATGCTAAGGTATCACCTAAGTCCTTTGCTTGATCTACACCTTGCTTTCTGATATTAAATCAGCCTGTAAGCTACTATACCTTTTGCATGTCCTTGCTATGCTGGATAGCATCACAATCTTAATGTTATAAAAAATTAAAATCATTCAGCACCAATTAGGGTTGTAGAGGTGTTGTAAGGTAGCTCTGACTGATCAATAAAGGTTTTCTATCTGGAGTTCCCTGATGAAAGAAATATCCTGGCACTTGACCTTGCACTTTACACTTCATTCTGTGATATATTATCATGTCAAGCTACAGCAGATGGTGAGGGATGCAATGGGAGGTGAGTACATTACACCCTATTCTTGACTGCCTTTGACTTTAACTGCAGCATTTATATTACTCTGCCTTTGCCTCATCAGCTTGAGAACTGAAATGTTGTGACTGGCTCTGTGTCACCTCTGACCATCATTTTTCTGCATTAGACTCATTTTCCTTTCTGTCTTTGTCTGTCTTTTTTTCCACGAAGGATCTCCCCACTGCATTTTCTTTCTTCTACTAAAACATATTCCAGTTTCTTCTCCCTTAAAAGGATTTTTTACTGTTGTGACTTTTGGGTTTTTTTGTGAATTGGTTTGATGCTTCGTCAGGAAAAAGTGATGGAGAAGGGGCAAGTCACACATTAGCACTAGCTGTATAGTCCAGCAAGAGAGGCAATAATG